GCCTTGCTTTTCTCATTTACAATATCTTCAGTCCCAGTCCATGTTAGCATATATAGATTTTACCTCCTTTTTTTTTTTTTTTTTTTTTGAGACAAGGTCTCCCTCTGTCACCCAGGCTGGAATGTAGTGGTGTGATTATGGGTCACTGCAGCCTTGAACTCCTTGGCTCAAGTGATCCTCCCAACCCAACCTCAACCTCCCAAGCAGCTGGGGACCACAGGCACATGCCACCATGCCCAGCTATTTTCTTTGTATTTTTGTAGAGATGAGGTCTTGCTGTGTTGCCCAGGCTGGTTTCAAACTCCTGGGCTCAAGTGATCCTCCTGCCTCAGCCTCCCAAAGTGTTGGGTTTATAGGTATGAACCACGGTGTCTGGTCTTCAAGCTTGTTTCCTGTTCTGTAGGAAAGTCACCCCCCAGTTCTACGAGTTCTTTCAAAGTCTCACTCACCTCCAGCTACGTCTTTGTATTTGCATTTGTTACCTTTTTTTTTTTTTTTTTTTTTTTTTTGAGAGTCTTGCTCTGATGTCCAGGCTAGAGTGCAGTGGTGCAATCTCGGCTCACTGCAACCTCTGCCTCCCAGGTTAAAGTGATTCTCCTGCCCCAGCCTCCCACGTAGCTGGGATTACAGGCACCTGTCACCACTCCTGGATAATTTTTGTATTTTTAGTACAGACGGGGTTTCACCATACTGGCCAGGATTGGGCTCGAACTCCCAACCTCAAGTGATCTGCCTGCCTCGGCCTCCCAAAGTGCTGGGCTTACAGGTGTGAGCCAGGGCACCTGGCCTGCACTTCTTACTTTTATTTTTGTTGTTCCATGTATTGGCTCCTGATATCTCTCATTCCCTTCTCTCTCCTTATTAATTTACAATTTATCAAAAAAGCACCAGATTAATATTTTCCTCATTTCCATAATTTTGCTCCTATCTTCAGAAACTTCTTGTGGCTCCCATGCCTACAGTCTCAACATTCTCCAGACCCTAGTCTGCTTTGGAGCTTGCACATCTATACAAATTTTCTACTTCAAACTTCTGCTTTGCCAACTTCATGCTTTTTTATCAATTCTCTCGCCTGGGCGTTCAACTTCCTGTTCAAACCTCTGTGACCACCTTATGCTGACAGCCCAGTCCACAATTCTCTTCTCAGAATTTTTAAACTACTCATTATCTGTATCACTCTTTCACATTTATTAACTTAAAGTAACTAAGAATTTATTGTTTATCCTGTCTCCTGAACTAGATGTTCATTCCTTAGGAGATATCTCTAAAACATTTTTGTATCTAACACACATAGCATAAACCCTCATATGCTGATATGTTCAAAAACCATCTCTAGATTGAAACAAGACCTAAATGTAAGAAAAAGAAAAAGCTAGCCAGATGCCAAGGAAAACACTGCTAAACCTTCCCAAAGAGTGGCCAGGAACAGTGGCTCACCCCTGTAATCCCAGAACTTTGGGAGGCTGAGGCGGGTGAATCATTTGGGTTCAGGGGTTTGAGACTAGCCTGGCCAACCAACATGGTAAAACCCCGTCTCTACTAAAAATTAAAAAAAATTAGCTGGGCGTAGTGGTGGGGGCCTGTAATCCCAGCTACTGGGAGGCTGAGGCAGGAGAATCACTTGAACCCAAGAGGCGGAGACTGCAGTGAACCGAGATCAAGCTACTGCACTGCAGCCTGGGCAATTGAGCAAGACTCCATCTCAAAAAAAAAAAAAAAAAAAAAAAAAAAAGAAATTCCCGGAGATACTTTACATAAATTTTCCCAAACCTAGCAGCAGATGCCAAAGGTAGCTGGTGATAACTCAAGAAACTCTAAAATGCTGAAAGAAAGAGAGAGAAGCTTGCCAATAAGAGGAAACATTTAAAAAAAGACTAAAAACACCAGCCAAAATAGGACTCAATACCTTAAACAAGTAACACTTCTCATCCAACATTATAGCACACCGTACTAGACTGTTACACAACTTGTCCCAGCATATAATATTTACTGATCACTGTCTGGTTGGTACATTCTTTTGACCTATCAAAAGTGGAGGCACTCCTGATCATCTATTCATTTATCTTCCTACAGTCTAATTTCTCTTCCATTTATGAGGGTCATCTACAGTAAGCATGATCAAGCCCTAATTCTGGCCTTTTCTCACATCCCATGAAACTTGAGTCTCAGTATCTAGTTAAATACGCAGACCCTTTCTTCAAATAAAGTTTACCTTAGAAATTACACTATTCCTCTAGGTGAATTTTTGAAATATAGAGCAAAACTGAATCTCTTTGCATGCACACACATATATGAAGGCATAGGAAAAGATTTGGAAAGGCATAACTTGAAGTGCTTCTTTTCTTTCTCTTCCTTTCTTTCACTTGAAGTGCTTATTTCTTTTTTTCTTTTTTGAGATGGAGTTTCGCTCTTGTTGCCCAGGCTGAAGGGCAATCGTGCGATCTCGGCTCAATGCAACCTCAGCCTCCTGAGTTTAAGCAATTCTCTTGCTTTAGCCTCCCGAGTAGCTGGAATTACAGGCATGCACCACCATGCCAGGCTAATTTTTTTATATTTTTAGTTGAAACGGGGTTTCACCATGATGGTCAGGCTGGTCTCGAACTCCTGACCTCAGGTGATCTGCCCGCCTTGGCCTCCTTAAGTGTTGGGATTAACAGGCGTGAGCCATAGTGCCCGGCCTTTTTAGATGAATTCTTGCTCCGTTGCCCAGGCTGGGGTGCAGTGGCATGATCTCGGCTCACTGAAATCTCCACTTCCATTTCCCCGGTTCAAGTAATTCTGCCTCAGCCTCTGGAGTTGCTGGGACTACAGGCATGTCCCACCACACCAATCTAATTTTTCTATTTTTAGTAGAGACAGGGTCTGAAGTGCATAGTTCTGGGGTGGATATATTAGTTGGATTACTTTAAGAGAAATATTTTTCTTTTTTTTTTTTTTTTAAGAAGTAAATAAATTGTATCCTGTTACTCACACCTATTTTCTTACTTTAAAAAAAATTTTTTTGGCCGGGCGTGGTGGTTCAAGACTGTAATCCCAGCACTTTGGGAGGCTGAGGCGGGTGGATCATGAGGTCGAGAGATCGAGACCATCCTGGTCAACATGGTGAAACCCCGTCTCTACTAAAAATACAAAAAATTAGCTGGGCATGGTGGCGTGTGCCTGTAATCCCAGCTACTCAGGAGGCTGAGGCAGGAGAATTGCCTGAACCCAGGAGGCGGAGGTTGCGGTGAGCCGAGATGGCGCCATTGCACTCCAGCCTGGGTAACAAGAGCTAAACTCCATCTCAAAAAAAAAAAAAAAAAAATTTTTTTTTGAGACAGGCCTCACTCCTGTCTCCCAGGTTGGATCACCATCACGGCTCACTGCAGCCTCTGCCTCCTGGGTTCAGGTGATCCTCACATCTCAGCCTTCCAAAGTCCTGGAATTACAGGCGTGAGCCATCACGCCCGGCCTAGACCTATTTTCTTCAAAGAGTTTTTCAATAAATTCCATGGTGTTCCTAACTTTCATCTGAGAAAGTATTCTACCACTGATATTTCCTACTATAACCAAATTCCCTGACTGTTGTGCTCTGTAAAAAAATTTGCAGGTATAAATGACCCAAGTCAGTTCACAGATCAAATCTTTCAGTTCTATCACACTGTGAGAGGTCACTGTTGTTAAAGTAAAATAACTTGTGTTCTAATTATGGCTCTGCTAAGAATATGCTGGGGGATGTCAGGAAGCCATTTTATTTGTAAAATGATGAGTTAGACCAGAATATATTCTCTGACAGAAGTTTACAAGGATGAATATTTACAGGCCAGGCGCAGTGGCTCACATCTATAATACCAACAATTTCAGAAGTCGAGGAGTGAGGATCCCTTGAGCACAGGAGTTCGACATCATTCTGGGCAACCTAGTGAGACCCCCTTCTCTACCAAAAAAATAAATATAAATTTAAAAAATGTATTAGCTTGGCTTGGTGATGTACTGAGGCAGGAGGATCCCTTGAGCCTAGGTGTTCAAGGATGCAGGGAGCCGTGATCATAGGCACTGCACTTCAGCCTGGGCGACAGAGCAACACCTTGGCTGGCTCTAAAAAAAAAAAAAGAGCCGGGCTCGGTGGCTCACGCCTATAATCCCAGCACTTTGGGAGGCCGAGGCGGGTGGATCACGAGGTCGAGAGATCGAGACCATCCTAGTCAACATGGTGAAACCCCGTCTCTACTAAAAATACAAAAAATTAGCTGGGCATGGTGGTGCGTGCCTGTAATCCCAGCTACTCAGGAGGCTGAGGCAGGAGAATTGCCTGAACCCAGGAGGCGGAGGTTGCGGTGAGCCGAGATCGCGCCATTGCACTCCAGCCTGGGCAACAAGAGCGAAACTCCGTCTCAAAAAAAAAAAAAAAAAAAGAAAGAAAGAAAAAGAAAAAGATTTATAAAGATTTAATAGATTTACAAAATCTATTCTACGGGGGAAAGTTTCCCATTCAGTTCTGAACTGCTGTGAACCTAAAGGCAGGAAGGCAAATTCCCTTCAGTTCAGCAAACACGGAGTTGCCGCTACCGCATCGTCTGTGAAGAAGGCACTACGAACCTCAGGCGCTCAGTCACCAGGTTTTACAGAATGCGCAAAGAATAAGTCTTTCACCCAGGAAGCGTTTCGCTTCCCTTCGCTGGAGCCACGCTCAAGGTGCCAAAGGCTAATTGTTGTCCACTCTCAGCAATCTGCCAGCAAAATGAGCACCTACCTGCTGGGAACGTGGCGGTGACAATACTACAGTTCCCAGCCTGCCTCCCGCCCGCCTCCTGCCCGTCCCCCGCCAGTCCCCGCTCCCGGACTCCACAGGCCGCGACTTGTAGTCCCAGCCTACGGCTGGCGGCTGCGCGGGACTCCTGAAGACTGCTTTTCCTCCTTAGCAGGCGGTGAGACCGCAAATTTCGGCAGAATCCTACTCTCACCGACCAGGGCTTGCCCCGCTCAGAGTCGCAATCCCTTCTCTGGGGGAACCACCTCACCTCCCAACGATACTCTGACTTCTGAGCACCCCGAACGGGGCCACACCCCGGAAATGGAGTCAGGTCTCCAGGCCGCCCGCAGAAGCGTCTTCCAGCCACTCCAAGCCGGATTGGGGCCCGCGGGGCGGGGTTGGGGGCGCGGCCGGGAGGCGGGCCGGGGTGGATCGGCGGGCGCAGCGCTTGGGGCGGAGCCGCAGCGCGAGCCCGCGCATCTGGGTGGCGGCGGGGACGCGCCCGTGGGGAGAGGCGGCTGCGGCTGCGGCTGCTGGCGGGGGGTGGGGGGGGAGGAAGAACCGGGAAGGGGGGGCAGGGCGAGCGGAGAGCTGTGTTCCTGAGGTGGCGGCGGCGGCGTCTCCGACGGAGGAGGAGGAGGGCGGGGAAGGAGGATGGAGCAAGCTGGGGGTTGGGGTTGGCGCTAGCCGCAGCGGCTTGTCTCGTACTGTGGGAGAGCGGCGGCTGCTTCTGGAAGTTGTGGTGTCGGGAGCCCAGCCGGTGCCGCCGCAGCCGCCGCCTAGGGCGGTGGGAAGGAGGAGGGAGCCGCGGGGCTTGGCGGGGGTCGGGAGGGAGGGACGTGCTGGGGGAGCGAGCTGGGGAAGCCGGAGCGGGCTCTGCGCCGGGCGGGCGGGCGGCGGGGGGGCCAGCGACCGCAGCCGGGGGGACGCGGGAGGATGGAGCAAGTGGAGATCCTGAGGAAATTCATCCAGAGGGTCCAGGCCATGAAGAGTCCCGACCACAATGGGGAGGACAACTTCGCCCGGGACTTCATGGTGAGTCTCTCCCCTCGCTGTCGCCTTGTCTCGCCGGCGCCGGAGCCCATCGCCGCCTCTCTCGGCCGGGCCGCCAGTGCTTTGTGTACCTCCGTGAGGAGAGGGGCGGAGGGGCGCGCACCAACCCGGCGGTACGGGGGGACTCGGAAGCCGGCGGGAGGCGAGACCTCCTCCTTCCCTCGGCCTCCTTTCTCCTCCGGTGTTCGCGACCCACGCGCGGGCGCCCGGGACGCGAAGGGAGCGGCCGCGCGGCCGAGCCCGCAGCCCGCACGGCGGCTAGCGACCACCTATTGTTTACCCGGTCGGGAGCCGGAGGCTAGTGAGGTGCAGGCCGGCGGGGCGGAGGGGGCTCGCGCTTCCACACCTCCCCGCCCAGTCCGCTCCTCCCTGGAGGGCCGAGGTAGGGTATCTGGCTGTGACCTGGAGGAGTGCAGATCGCGGCTGACAGAGGAACGGGGGACGGGGGGAATTGAGGTTAGCACTAACTCCTGGGGTCTCTTTGCTCCAGCTGGTCTCAAAGCGGGCGAGGTAGGACTTGTGCCGTTTCTGGGGGGTGCAGTCAGGATCTCCAACGCTTGGGAAAGGATTGTCCATAAGGAATCTCAAGGGTTTACCTAATTTGCATTTACCCGCGTCTCCTCGCCTGAGACCCAGGTTTGAAGTGGTCTTGGGGTCCATGTGACTATAGGTTCAGGGGTTAAGTGTGGGTGGGGGGATTATCCTGAAGGAAGCTGACTTCGGACTCCCCAGGGGATGTTGCCGAAGGCGGAGGGGATGTGACTATCACTTCCTATCCGGGGTGGGGGTGGGGAACTTGGGAACAATAGTCCTGGTGGGGCGGAGGCAACACTACGGGCTGAAGCCCTGAACTGGGAGATAACCTTCCTGGCGCTCCCCCCCCCCGCCCCCCGCCGCTCCCCGCCCCCCACTTTCCGCCCTCTGCTTGTGCAAGCAGGCTTGAGAGGAGGTGAAGGTTAAAAGTCTTAATCGTGAAATTGGTCTAGATAACACTGTTGCTCCAGCTCACTATGAGGGGGTCAGATCCGAAGGCGTGGGACCAGAAGTCGACTTCCTACATTACCGACCCCCACCCCTGCCTCTTTTATTTTTCTGCTGGACAATGTTCCCTCTAGGGTTGTTTCCCGGCTTAGGAGGCGGTGGTTGCCGCTGCTGCTCCTACGGATATTGCGCAAGACTGGGGCGTTGGAAACCCTGTAGGTCTGGGGAATGGAAAAGGAAGTGGGACTTTGGGAAGTGGTTGCTCCTTAGCCTTGGTGGGGGTTGGGAATGGGAAAACAGCTAGGGAAAATTTTTATTCTGGGTAAGGTAAACCTCCAAGAATAATGACTTAACTCTGAAATTTGGTTATGAAAAGGATACACAGTTAATATCCATAAAATGAATGGGCAGCAAACATTGGCTAGTTTATTTAAAAGTACAGCAGTTTTTATGGTGCAGGTGATATGACTTAGTAGTGAAATACTTTTTCACGTGTTAAAGAGATTTCGGTCTAGTAAACCTTTAGCGTTAAATTTTTAACAGCTTATAAAATAGGTCCTTGACCTTACACTATATTATAGTAGTATCGTTGAGCTTTGTGATTCCTGCCTCCCCAGACCAATAATAGAGGATGGAAGTAAAGTTCTCTCAGTATCTTTTGAACACTGAAAATATAAGTTAAATAATCTTATTCCTTATTAAAAATAAAAATATTCCTTATATTTGAACATTTGCTGTTGATATTTACCGTATTTTTGAAAAATTACTTTTTGATCTGAAAGGGTTAAGAGGGCATTTTCCCTTTTTACTATTGAGAGTTTTTATTTGCGTTGTTATCTTTTGAATGGTGTCATTTATGGTAATTGGATGGCGTCCCCTTTTTACCACTTTCTAGCAAAAGTAGAAGAAAATAGTTTGAGCATTTGAGTTTTAAAACCTTTTTTTTTTTTTTAATTTTTTTTGGAGAGGCGGTCTCATTCTGCGCTCTGCCACTCAGGCTGGTGTGCAGTGGTACAATCTCAGCTCACTGCAATCGCCACCTCCCAGGTTCAAGCATTCTCCTGCCTCAGCCTCCCAGGTAGCTGGGATTATAGGTGGCAAGTCAACAAGTCTCGCTAATTTTTGTATTTTTAGTAGAGATGGGGTTTTGCCATATTGGCCAGGCTGGTCTGGAACTCCTGATCTCAAGTGATCCACCTGCCTTGGCCATCCGAAGTGCTTGGATTACAGGCATGAGCTACCACACCTGGCCTAAAACTAGTTTTTTACCATCTTATTTTGGTTATGGAAGAAGATGATGTGGTCCCTCATCATTTCTTGTTTGCATGCTAGTTACCTTGTTATCCCTAGGCATATCCTATCAGGAAGGAGCCTTGTTTGGTGATCAGGCCATCAGGACAGGTGCCCAGCCTCTGAACTCCTGTACTGGGGAAGTAGCCTTAGGGTTCATGCTTTGTGGATGAGTCAGGGATTCCTATTGGAGAGTTCATTTCTTTTTTTTTTTGAGAAGGAGTCTCACACTGTGTCACCCAGGCTGGAGTGCAGTGGTGCAACCTTGGCTTGTCTGCCTCCTGGGTTCAAGGGATTCTCCTGCGTCAGCTTCCTGAGTAGCTGAGATTATGCACTTGTCACCATGCCTGGCTAATTTTGGTATTTTTAGGGGAGATGCGATTTCACCATATTGGCTAGGCTGGTCTCAAACTCGTGAATTCGTGATCCATCCTCCTTGGCCTCCCAATTTGCTAGGATTACAGGCCACCATTCCCGGCCGAGAGTTCATTTCTCAAAGACTAAATGAGTTTCTTTTATTTTCCCCATAATACCTAGGTATAGCTAAGTGATTATACATTGGAGATTTGATGACTAAAGCTATTCTTTTATAGGGCTTTTTTTTTTTTTTAATTTTTTTTAATTTTCTGGCTTGATAAGCAATAGCTGTAATTAAGGCTGCCGGTAGTTGGTGCTGCTTTTTCCCCTGACTGGAAGGCTAGAGAGGAACTATGTTCCTCTGGCATGGAAAGAGAAAAAAAAGATCAGCTGATAGATTCTAACTACTCTTCAATTCTGATGTGGATTAGAAATGTATTTTAAAATCTTGACATTTTATGGCTGAGCATTAGAGATAATGTAGCTGATATAACTGTTCCATTTATAAAGTAATGTTTATTCCAAATTCGGAAATTAATAGAATACTAATAATGCCTATGCTTAGACCACAGTTCTAATAAACACTCCACTTTCCTGGCTCCAATACGATGCTATTTACGTCTAACCGTCCTATGGTGTCATTTTTCAAAGGCTACCTCTTAATTTGTTGTAGTTGTTGTTTTGTTTTTGAGATGGGGTCTCACTCTGTTAGCCAGGCTGGAGTGCATTACTGCGGTCCTGGCTGACTGCAGCATTAGCCTCCCTGGGCTCAGGTGATCCTCTCACCTCAGTCTCCAGAGTAGCTGGGACCACAAGCCCACATCACCAAGCCCACCTAGTTTTTGTGTTTTTTGTAGAGACGGTTTCCCTATGTTGCCCACGCTGGTCTTGAACTCCTGGGCTTAAGCAATCCATCTGCCTTAGCCTCAAAGTGCTGGAGTTACAGGTGTGAGCCACCATGGCCGGCCTACTACCTGGTGACTATTTTATATCATAATTCTGTTTCTTTATGGTTGAGTATTTAGGCCATTCTACTTTCTGTTGTTACATATAATAATTCTGTGATTAACATTTATGCTGAAAACTTTTACGTTTTTCACTATTGTGTAAGATAGCTTCCCGGTATTACTAGGTAGACGTATATAAACGTTGAATACATGTTCATAAGCTTGAAAAAGTGTTGTCAATTTATATAAATTGACAGTAATGTATGAATGTTCATGTAATTATCAGTAATGTATGAATGTTCATATAATTATCTTGATCTTTATTTGATGGTTGAAAACTGCTATCTTGTTTTAATTTGAATTTCTTGATTACTATTGAGGATAGAAATTTTCCACTTGCCATTAACTATTCTATGAGTGTCTACTCCTGGCCTTGGTTGTGCCCCATACTGTGAAAGAGGAGACAACTAAGGTACCCAGATTGTGTAAAACTGTGTTGGCCAGATGGTTGTTTGCATGTTGAAAACATACTAGTTTGTGGCTGATCCAGAACTTGATTTTAATTATCTCTACTTTTGGTATTTGCAAAATGGGACATAAATGTATAAAGTAGGGTGGTGCACTTTCATGTTTTACAGACACCTAGGTTTTATTCCACCAGACTCCCTCTTATGGCTGGGGGTTGGGGAGGTGGTCCTGGACCATATTTTGAGAACCAGTGGGCTAATACGTGGTAAATGATAAAGATGATACTGGAAAAGTTAGGTAGAGGTCTATTTGTGAACGATCTTACACCTATGCTATATGTAGATTTTATTCTACAGAACGATTGGCATTGTAACTCCTAGAGTCATGGAGAAACTAAGGCAGTGTTAAGAAAATAGACATGCTGGCCCACTCCAGACTCGTTCCCCCACTCTTACCTTCTCCAGCCTGCTCCTTGAGTTGTACTCGGAACCTTCACTTCATCACAAATGTTCTGGTAGAAAATGTAAGGATCATTGGTCTGGGTTTCTGGAGCACTACTGAGTCTTTTAAGAAAGGTAAACAGTCATTTGTGTTTTACAAAGTTGATTCTGATGGCAGTATGAAGGGTGGCATTTTGGAAGCTGTTGAAATATAAGAAATGAGATGGGGAAATAGAGTATACAACATATCTGATAAGAATTAAGAAAGGAGTTTTAATGATTCATTAGATGTGGCTAGTAAAGAAGAAAAGAGTACAGTATTATGACTCCCAAAATGTCTAGTTTGGTCTCTGTCACGCAAGCTAAAGAATACCATTTGGTAGAGTAAGGAGTGAGGGGGGAGAAAAAAGTAGAGGAGACCAAACAATGTTGTAGGAGGAAGTTTCAAGGGAGAAGAGGATAAATTTAATTTTCAGCATGTTAAAACTGAGGTGCCTAT